ACTGAGAATGAACCGGGTGACTGGTCATGCCAGCCTGGGAAACTGGGACATCTGGGAAGACCCCACGAAGCTTGGGAGCGACATCGTCTTACAACGTGGAGCATCTTCAAGATGACTTTGAGGGTCTCCATGGAGAGGGGAGAGGCAGTTGGATTTATGGGTGTGGAAGTTCACAGAACCCTGAGCTGGAGATCAAATTTGGAGGGCTTGGGCTCAAAAGGATCAACTCTTAGGAACTGCTGTTGCTCCAAAGCCCTCCTGCCCCAGCCCACACAGCCTCAGTGGGAGGCAGAACCAGCTGGCTGTGGCTGTGATCCCTGCAGCCCAGGACCCTGGTCCCTGCTGTCCCCTCAGTGAGAAATGAACGATTCTTCACAGAGTTGCATGGGACAGCATTGCCTCCCCCTCCAGCCTGGCCTCGGGCAGCCTTCGACCCCCAGTGTCCTCTCAGGGTGAGGGACTCTTCTCCGCACCTCTGCAGGACGGCATGAGCCACCACCAGCACAGTGATGCCTGTGGCATGCGGGCCTTCTGCCCCCTCTCAAGGGCAAGTCTAATAAAGCCAAGTTCCGGGACCACAACCACGACGTGTACAGAGTGGTCACCACTGCTGAACTCCCTTAACCACCTGGAAGGCAGGCGTCCCGGCCCAGGCTTAACTGCATTCTCCAATGAATGAAGACACGATTCTGGATGGTTTATTTTTTGTTTTTGTTTTTGTTTTTAGTTTGTTTGTTTTAGAGACAGGGTCTCACTCTGTCACCCAGGCTGGAGTGCAGTGATGTGATCACGGCTCATTGCAGCCTTGACCTCCTGGCCTCAAGCGATCCTCCTGCCTCAGCCTCCCAAAGTGCCAGGATTACAGACATGGGTCACCGTGCCTAGCCTTACCAGCCCTTTAGTAATAAGCACTTTTCAGAGAACTGAAGCTCTTCAGCCTGGAGATGAGGCACAGATATCACCCTGGACACTGGAAGTCTGGTTGGATGCTGGGGTCAGCGAAGAACAAAATGACACTGGAGAACAGAGGCTGTGGCTTGGCTGCCTTGCCCCTGCAGGAGGAGCCTGGACTGGCCCCAGGTGGTGCTGCCTTTGCTGTCCTAGGAGGGGCCTGGCAGGGTCCTTTCTATCCCGGAAATGCTGTGATCAGAGCCAGTAAGCTCCCACTGGAAGCTTCACCTGCCCAAAGTAGAGTCTGCCTTCATCAGCACAATTCACTCAGTGACTGTTCTGGAAGGTGCAGGGCTATCAAAAAACAATTTTAAGTCCCTGCTTTCAGGAAGTCAAGCATAACGAATAACATGCATCCATGAGAACTCTACACGAGGGGCTGAGGTCTCTGGGGCTCTGGTGAGCCATCCACCCAGACTGTGCGCTAGAACCCAGGGGAGGGGACAGCAGGCTGCAGGCTGCAGCGCGGAGACTGGATGGAAGGGGGTTTGGGGACTGGGGGGGTCAAGAATGAATCCGGGCCCGGCTCGCACGCTATGCGGCAGCAGTGAAGCCCGAAGCAGGGACATGTCTAGTGGGTGAGGCTGAACACCAAGAGCCTTGGATTCTGAGACTGAGCCTTGGGGCCCCTGGAGGGCTGCTAGGTGGTTCTGAGCAGCAGATGAAGCTGGGATTCGGGGCCCCAGAGTCCTTGAAGTGCACTGTGCAGAATGTCCCCAGAGGGTGCTGGCTTGACCATTACTGTTTCATTGACCATTTTACTACTATTTACTACCACACTACCACCAAGTTTTACCATTGACATTTACACTATTATTCACTTACAGAGAATGATTAAAATAAATGTGCAGTTTGAAAGGCAAACTGCAGCCGGGCACGGTGGCTCATGCCTGTAATCCTAGCACTTTGGGAGGCTGAGGCGGGCAGATCACGAAGTCAGGAGTTTGAGACCAGCCTGGCCAACATGCTGAAACTCCATCTCTACCAAAAATACAAAAATTAGCCGGGTCTGATGACGCACACCTGTAATCCCAGCTACTCAGGCGGCTGAGGCAGAAGAATCCCTTGAACCTGGGAGGCGGAGGTTGCAGTGAGCCGAGTTTGCATCACTG